AGGTGTGAGTGTATCATCCGTTTCCTTGAGCAGAAACAACAGCATCCTTGTGGTCAGAGAATCCATCCTCAAAGCCATAAAACCCCCACATACAATCCTCATAACCCCCAGCATGCACCCTGCAGCAGCGTCCTTTTAATCACAACTCTAAATCTGTACCGGCTCCTTGAGCTGCTGACCCTACAATCTGACCTTTGTTGAGGTGGTGATGGTGGTGGGGGGAACACAACAGCTCGCCAATCAATAGAGAATTAGAAAGTTCAGCAGCCATTTTGCTTCCATTCGCTGATCACAGAAGAAGGACAGCAGTAGATTGTGATCCCATTCAACATGGATCAATACTGCAGAACAAAGATCTTCTCCTGCACCATCATCCTTATGACTCATCGTGGGGCGCTGGTGTTGCAGTAGTTAGTGCGCGCGTCTCATGTATGGAGGCATGGAGTCCTCAACGCGGGAGGCCTGGGTTTGAATCCAGCCTGTGGCTCCTTTCCCGCATGTCAATCCCCACTCTCTCTCTCTCCCTGATTTCCGTTTACTTCGGTCAGAGCTGTGTTTCTCTCATAGTTCTCTCAGTAGTCCTCACTGCAATGTCATACACTAATTAGTATATATACAAAACTTTTGGCCCAACACTGTTGCTAATTTTGGAATATACAATGAATAAAATGAATGCCAGTGGACATAAGTTGTAAAGGGGGGGGGGGACTGTGTGGTTACCAAACAATAAGAACAAAGAAGAATTCAAACATGACCTCTCACTACATCATAGTTACATAAAAAAATTATGTTGTCTAAACAACGACTAATAGTGTGAAACTTAAGCCAGTTGTTGAATTTACTTGCTTCATATCTACCGTCAGTGTGTGAATGTGTAGGTGTGACACGCGGTGTAAACGCACTTTGAGTAGTCAGAAGACTAGAAAAACACTATTCAAGTCCTTTCACCATCTACCTACATGGGGGGGATTTTAAACCTCTATGTGACCTACAAAGTGAAACAAGACCATCAGAACAATATTGATTATTCCTGTAGTATTGTAATGCAGGCTTGTATCAGTTTCTTCATCCTTTCATACCGTCTTGTCATGTTACCGGGATATACGGTAAATGACTGTATTTGTTATCATTTGTAATAATAATAGTTTTGTAGCGACAACATTCACAGTTCATAACCTGGTTGCCGACTTAGGATTTGCTTTAGCTTTGTTTTTGAAGGTCACTCAGAGAGAGAAAAGGTTTAAACTGTCTTCCTGCGTGATGATTTATATTACTACAACGTTCAATTTGTGTGCAGCTGTGTCACTCTTTTAGTTCTGTTTTCAGTTTGCTCTCCTACTAGCTACAGTACAGTAGTCGAGCTCTCTGTGAAAGTTGTGAAGCACAGACTCCTAGCTTGCGAGCTCTCTGCCCGACTCCGCTGGTCACTCTTTAACTTTAAAGTTAAATCAAAAGGTTTATTCACAGAACAATATACCACTGTTTTCTGTAAAGTCATGATTATGACCTCGTGAGGAAGAAAAGATGTGCAAAAGTCTCCCTCCTCCACTCTGATGTTAGCTTGGCCCGTTTACCTTCCCAGGGTTTACCATCAGCACTGCAGTCATAGTAGCCACGGTAACGGGCGTCCACATAGGACCTGACCCCTGCTGGTGCATGCTGTGCATTACAACCCCTCAACTCAATACATTATATTTGAGTCACTTTAACAAGAAAAGTAGCATTCATATTTTCGGCGGTATTAAAAGTCATACAGTCAGGATTTCTAAACATCCTGGTTTACCTTCATACCATGATACCACCATAGCCTGTTGTAATGCTGGCGTCACTTCCACTGGATCTGTGTCAGGCAAAGACTTTATAAAGTACACTTGTAATAGAAGCCTGTTCCCTTTAGAAAAAAAAAACGGCATTTAACAAATAAGGTAGAATGGGAACAGTCATCTACATTACCCTATTATTAAAAAGTGATGTAATGTATTTTATGCTTTATTCTGCTACGTATTTTTAGGGTTGTTCACATTCAACCTTAATCTGCTCCCCTTGCTTCCCATCAGTTTACACACACTTGTCCCTCCTAATACACACAGCTTGGCAGGGCAAGTGATTCAGACTTTTCGTCCACATGCGAAAGATGTCTGTGACCACCGGGGGAGCATTTTGGCTTCACTTTGGTTCAACAGGAACAGGTGGAGACGCGTTGTCCATCTTTTGTACAGTCAATGCTTTCATCCCTATGTGTGGCATCCATTCTGGCTACTTTTGATTTCACTGTGTTTTCTGTACATTTTATCAAGCAACAGGATAGAGAACAAACCATATGATGTAATTTTGTAGGCCAACCCTGAAGTAGCATCGCCATGGGGTCTAACGAGAATTCTCCTATGGGATTTTTTGCATTGGATTTTGGATCACTGCAGAAAATAATCTCTGTGGCGAACACACGTTTCTGAAGCGTAGGCGTTTTGTTCAGCAGGATAATCTTCACAGATGAACACCATTTTTATGATGTTTGAAGCGTTAATGTGGCCGACAGAAGTCAAAAGCTAACGTTATGCTACAAGCTAACTACACCACGGTCGGATGAATGTGACGTCACTAGCGTTATGCTTCAGACGATCTCCGATAAACTAATCAGCGTAGCTTAATAAATAGTTTACTAACATAATATTCACCTTAACCTAAAGATTAAACCTACAGGAGACATCTCAGACTAGTGAGAGAGTTCCTGCCCTCTGTGTCTGGCGTGATGACGTTTAATGTCCCCGACAACCACTGTAGTCACATTTAGCCACTTGTTAACAACCGCCTTTTTAAAGACGAGTAAAAACTTCAAAATTCACAAGTGGGGGTGTTACCTAACGTAGTTTATGTGGTCTAACAAAACACCAACATCTCTGAAGCTTGTGTTAACCACAGACCTTATTTCAGGTGTCTAACCACAAACACATTCAAAATCCACGTTGACTTTTAGACGTTAGACCCCATGGCGCTCAAATGCTAACTTACTTCAGGGTGTTAGGACTCATTCCTGTGGCGCTCTATTAACAGTTGTGATTAGCCAGGTCAGTTGGAAATGTGACTAACTTGAAGGGGCACTCACATCTCATCTAGAATAAGATGTTGTGATATTTCACTCAGGACCTAAGTGGTGGACTGAGCAACAGATAGTCTCACTGTTAGCGGTTGCAACATTGCTGCAACAAAATTGCTTCAACTGTCATTTTAGGTCCGAATTTTTTTAATTTGTTTTATTCTGGCTTTCAGAATGATTTGAACCATCCCAGTCTGGCATCATGAAATAGACCGTTGATAAGCACCACTTCCATTAAAATTCAGATTGATCAACTCTTTCTCATAATTCATTTCTGTCTGGTGGGAGCATTGTCACAAAGCACAAGTGGCCATCCAGTTGTTTGATGAGCATGATAATTATTTCAGCCATATGCCAAGGCTTTCCAAAACACCTGTGCGTACCAAACATCCGGCAGAGACGGACTCGAGCCAGAGAATTGACATTCCCTTTATTCATTATTTGCTGCTTTATCTCTCGCTGTTTGCCTTTTTTTTATCACTCTCATCTTGGTCATTCCTTTAAACCCCCCTCCCCTACACTCCCAGTTTCCTCTCTCGCCCCACCCCCCACCCCTATCCTGTTCACTTGATTATGTAGAGCCAGAGTCGGGGAAAGTGTCACTATGGAAACAGGGGCAGAGGCAGCGGAGGGCTCTCTATGGGAGTGAGGGGGAGAGACAGAGAGTTAGGAAAAAAGCTGCTAACTGGCCACTGCTGAGGAATCCATGAGTGCTTATCTGACGCAGGTAAGATTCCAAAGTATCAAATATAACAAACACATTATTTCTTAAACCTTTTACCACACACATGGTTTGTAAAGTGTCTTTCAAAGTATATGAATGAATCACAAGTGCCTTTTTTTTCTCTCTGGCTTTGTCCAGCCACATTCTTTTTTATCTATTGCAGGAAACTAATGACTAATGCAGCAGACGTGATAGGTAACTGAATGTACAAACTCAGCTCAGATCATTTCCTATCTCTACATCTCCTTCTCTGAGATTGCTATCGTTTTAAAAATGGAAAACTAATAAATGAAAACAACTTCTGCTTGGATTTACCTCGTTTATAAATGACAGCTGAGTAACACTGAAACATTTGAGCATCAGTAGAAGTGAATCCTCAAGTAAGAGTAGAATGACTATAAAACACAAGAGATTAGTCCATAAACATGAAATCAAGTGGTTGTTGTGTTATTTATTAAAACTATAATGAATTTAGTCACTTTATCAGGCAAAGATGTCACACATTCGATGGTTTGGGCTTCTCAATTCCTCTCTTTTCCACTTCCTTTTATCATATAAGGGTTATGAATAGGGATGCTCGATTGTGGAAATATTCATAATCCTGATTATTTTCATTTCCACACAAGACAAAACCTTTAAAAATTTTTTTACTGCAACACAGCATGAAGTGCAGTGATCTTTGAATCTTGATTATCTTGTTCACATGATCGTGGGAAAGGCAGTTAGTTTCCCAGCCCTATTTATGGACTATTTTTTGATACAACACCCAATATGAATGCATTACGATGACATAATTTCTCCACTTTTTCTGACCTTTTCAAGAACTTAAGATGAACAAATTGTTTAAAAAAGATGAAATGAGGAACATAATGTATAGTCTACAGAGCTATATGACATTTCCCACTTTCATACCAAATATTGGGATTTTTCCAACACACCTTTGTAGGTGATTGAACATATATGGGCATATATGGATGCACAGCAGCAACTAACTGTAGAAAACTAATGAGCCTTAATATCCTCTCTCACCAATGAGTTTAAAGAGTAGTGTGGTGTAGGAGTGAGGAGGAGAGTCAGGCGGGAGCAGGTCATAAAAAGAGGAGGAGTGAAAAAAGAGGAGGAGAAAAGAAGAAGAAGAAGAGGGAGGGAAGGGTATGATAGAGAGAGGGGCTGAGACGGCAGCAGAGCAAGCCAGAGGCAGCGAAAGAGCAGCTCTCTCCCACTTCTCCATCCCAAAGATGACGGAGGGGAAGAAGACGGGGCGACATCTCCTGCACGCTGAAGTGAAAAGACGTCTGCTGTGAGGTACGTTACATCTCACCGTCTCCTCTTTGCCTCCTCTCATCTGTCCTTTTGGTCTTAATCAGAAACTGTGGAGCAGCAGAAGTCAAACACTGAGGGTGTTAAAGTGTGTGAGTGCAAAGAACCAGTATGAGGCTTTTCCAGCAGCATGTTGCTCTTTCTCTGTGTATGTGTGTGTGTGTGTGTGTGTGTGTGTGTGTGTGTGTGTGTGTGTGTGTGTGTGTGTGTGTGTGTGTGTGTGTGTGTGTGTGTGTGTGTGTGTGTGTGTGTGTGTGTGTGTATGTTTGTAGATGTGTGTGAGTAGATAGGGTCTGATTTATCAAAATGTCAACTGAGATTGTGCTGAGATGTAGTTTTTTTGGCATTTGAAGAGTGATAACGTTCTCTCTAATCAGACTCGTCCTCAGCAGTGTGACCTGCTGCTATGAAAGGACACGCTGGAAAACGCTCAAAAACATGATTTTTTTTCTCTCTTTTTCTGGTATTCCTTTACTCATATTTTGAAAAAACACACCTAAAATAAACTACTTTAATGCATGCACAGTTTTCAACACAGCTTTTTGTAACTCTCATATGTTAGATTTGACTTTCAGGTAAAAATGCTCACATTTAGAAATTTGCAGAAATGCACAAGTATGTTTAAGATTTCCTACTCAATTGACTTTATGAATCTTCTGATATCATTGTTTTGCAGAAAAATGACTTAATCCTTTCAAAATGTCTTAAATCTTTTCTTTAATGTAAAATAATAAATATACTTAATAGTAAAGACTTGAAACCCTCTAAAATGTGACGATACTTAAAATAGATGTGCGTAAGTGACTGCAGCTAACAGACTGTTTCTGTGCTCTAAGTTCCCCCTGAGTATCTGTCAACCACTCTCTTCATTAGTGCCATTAAGGTTGCTTTAATGTTATCAGGCACATTGCCGGTATTGATCTGCTAACCTGTCCCCGGGGGGGGTGGAGGGCAATAGTCCATACGAGCTAGCCTGTAGTCTTCATGTGTAGCTGTGTTCTGTACAGCAGACAGTGTTGGAGAGCAGAGTGAAGGATTATTGAGTGGACTAGCGCAGGGACGGTCTTTGTGCAGATGTCATGATGTCATACCAACTGGCTGTGCGGTACAAAATGGCTTGACATTAGAAAAGAAGTCAACTCCCCTGTTCAAACCAAAAAAATTTGCTAAATTTTAGATTCACTTGAGAGTTGAAGTGTTATCTTGGAAAGGCTTGAGGTGTATAACTGTGTGTGCTTTAAATGGAGATTTTCACATAAAAATGCAGCTTTTGTTGGTGGTGTGGCAGCAGTCTGTCTGTGTAACATGATGTCCTCTCATTTTAGTTGCTTTTACTATAATCTTCAGCGCTGACTGTTGATAGTTAACAATGCTATGGTTGATTACTAAAATATGATAAGAAAAAGAAAACTAGGATTAGTCAAGCAATTGGTTTATTTATGAAAAAAAATGAATCCAAGAAGTGTGTAATTTCCACGATATAAAAGAAGAGCTCTCTTTGCTTTTTATATTGCACAAAATATCTCAGTTAGGATTTTCATCATGTTAGAGAATGTGTTAACATTTAGTGCATATCATCTTCTCTTATGAAACCTCACAAACTGTTTAATTTCTTCACTAATGATTTCAGGGTTGCTATGATTTGTATAAAACCTGTTGATTAGCTCATGAAGTAAAAGACAATCCATGTACATTTTTTTAATCCATATAATATATGATTGTAATATTAACCCGCCATTTAACAGATTTGTCTCATTATCTTGCAAATGAATAACTGATTGAGGATTATCTCATCGAGCCATTTACATTTTAATTTGTATTTCTAGGGCTGTAACTAATCATCATTTTCATTATCCCTTATCTCCTGATTTATTTTTTGGATTATTTGATTAATCTGTTAGTCTATTTCGAGAACCTGGAACCCCCGTCTCACACACACACACACACACACACACACACACACACACACACACACACACACACACACACACACACACACACACACAGACACGATTACACCAAGAAAGAAATAGAGAATATAAAATACTTGCTGAATGGGTTTTCTATCAGAGGGAACAAAAGAAATCTCTGAAAAAGATTGCATTTAGAAAAGCTGCAACCACTAAAATTAGTCTGTTTCCCCCAAAAAAGACTTCTTAATTGAGTGATATTCAAAAACATTGTTGATTTATTTTCCCATTTAATGAACTATTCCGTCAATACGTCTGATTTGTACTTTTCAAGCCTGATGCACTTGCAGGATAGTTGCAGAGTTTGGGGTCAGACTCACATCAGTCCTACAGTAGATGCATGTATTCATCTGCCTGTGGGCAGCATCTGTGTTTGTGTAGACCAGCGTGTGGATGGCAAAGAAAGTATATGGAGATCAATGCAAGCAGCTGTTCTCTCTGCACTTCAAACGCAGCTCTGTTGTTGGCGCATCAACGCTCCGACAGGCCTCGCGCAAGGGGATCAAAGGCTAATGAGACAGCCATCGCACAAACGCACCCAGCAGACCCATGAATATTGATATAGAAGGGGAGAGAGAGAGAGAGATGGGAGCAGGGTGTCTTCACTCTCTCAACTGCAGCCCCATCATTTAGAAAGGGGGATGAAGGAGGGGGGTTGGTTGCCACTGTAAGTTAGGAGGACTTAAAGTATTAAAGAAGTGTTAAATGAGCTGAACACACATTTCACTACAACTTCATATCGTGATTAAAAAAATAATTTGCCTCCATATTTACCATTTAAGATGCTGTACTGAAGTTGCCCCTGTTGTTAACATTGCTTACATTAACTTACAGTGCAGAGTGTAACAAAATCTCCTACACACAAAAACCCCAGATTGACACCTCATAAATGTACAGAGGGTTTTTAATGTCTGATTTGATATTCGAGATAAATGTGGCAGAAGCTGATAAATAATTGATTGTCATTTAAAAAAAAAGTTAATTGGTGTTTCTCTATTACTTAAAATATTTGGTGAAAACGTTGAACTTTTAAGTTTGACAAAAAGAAACCCTATGTATTATTTGGTCTTATATTTGAATCCTTAAATCTTATCATTCTACTTTACTGTAAATCAGATATCCTGATTCATGTGCCCCGCCCACTTACTGTATATTCACCAAGAGGAAATGGAAATACAAAAGACTCACAGAGAGTTACCAGAACTGTTTCAACAGTACATCAGTGTAGCTAACCATAAGAAGTCCATAAAGAAAATAAAAAGTTCTCTCTGATAAAATTGTACTTCCTTACCCGTTCCATCATCGCACCACACTATAGCGCCGTTCGTTCACACTTAAGCGAATGATTGAGTTTCCACAGCACACGCTGCGGTCTGACTCCAAAGCGTGCCACTAGTGCCACTCCGCTCCATTCCAAATGTGCATCGAGTCTACACATGACATCAAGCTGAACAGAGTAGACCGACCCGGGACAGGAAGTCAGACAAGGAATGGCGCAGAGCATCTGGCCAATTTCAAAATAAAACGCAATATAGAGGCTTTCAATCATATATTAATTAACTTTATCAACATGACGTCATGGCTGCCCGCATGCTCCAGAAACAGACCCAGTGTACCATCAGAATGAAGCTGGTTCCACATTGATCTTTTTACAACACTGCCTCAGAGTGTACTAAAAAGTGATATGCCCCCAAACAGTGATGCATTGTGTCTCTATAAACCTCATTGTGGTTGTATAACTTTACCTCCTAAATGTCACCAGTTTGTTTCCCCACTGGTGGACAGCTACATGACTTGTTAGAATTAACTCTTTCTTTAAAACATCCAGCATCATCTCCCCTCTGGCTCATTGATGACTCATACAAGGTGAAGGTGACATTTAGGATTTCACCATGCAGCAGATCCAACTGAAGCTAGAGAACACAGTGAAATGTTTCTCTGGGTGGGATGTCGTCTCAGCTCGTTCCTGCTGTCAACAGGCGGGCGAATAGAGGCTGGAAGCAGCACGAGCACAGCAGCAGGCAGGCAGGCGGAGACGGATGCTTGGGGAAGGCCGTCTCCAGCGCATGGGCGACCGTGCCTCTGTCTTGACTCAGAGTCGTAAATCAAGCCTCCCCTCCAGGGCCTATTTTCCATCCTCAGACCTTCACAACAGCTTGTTCTGCAGCCTGTGACGAGAGGGGCTGTTGTCATAGGAGCGATCGATCGTGTGGGATGAGTTTGTCGGGACGGGGGATTTCACCCGTCTGAGCGTGGTCACTGAAGTGTCCCGTCTGGATGTCTGTCTGCGGGCTACATCTTCTATCCAATGCCAAGTTGCTACCAGCTGCTGTCAGCTCCATATATCACATAGTTCCACCCCCCCTTCCCCCTACAAAGAAAAATAAGAAAAAAAGATCTTGGAGATTTCACAAAGTATATCTAGAACTTAAAAGAAGTCTTGTAGGTTGTTTGGGTGCAAAATAAAAAATTTCCAACTGGCAACTTGTACAGGCTGTTCCCTATCATCCAGTGCATGCTTTGATTGGTTCCAGACTCAATTGGCACTAAGCAGAAAATAATGCATGAATTGTTGAACATGTATAGAAGAGTGAATGGAGATTAGTTTTTGGTGGACTTTCTACTTCTCCCTAAAACCCAAAGAGGCTGCACTTTCTTTTCAGCCTGTAACAAATAGGTTATAAGATATTACTAACAGAGCTTCAATGAACTGTTAGATGTTTATTAGCATTAATCAGATCAATAGTAGCTTTATTACAGTCTTTATCCCAAACCAAACTAATCTGAACCATACAGTTACAAGGTGCATTAGAGCCCCACTCATTAATGGGCCAGCCAATAATAGCAGCAGATATTAGCTATTTTCCAGTGACTATCAATAATGGAATTTTTTAATTGCAGATATGTGCCGATGTTACCAGAAGTAGTTAACAGTCAAATAGCATTTCATTTGAGTATCGTCATATTACACCAGCAGTGCTCATGGATCATAACAAGCATCATCACCCTCCACTGAGTGTTTCCAGTTGAGTCCCCAGCTTGACTATGTTATAATGTTTTCAACAAGTGTTCGATAACTGCATTTGAGGGATCAATGCAAAGAATGTGTATATTTATATCTATCTCCACAGATTGAACATAGATCTAAGAAAGATATTGATATATCAGTATCAGGTTTTCTCTTTCCTGGTATCGATATCGTAGACCGCCCCCCCTAAAGTCCCATATCAGTCGGGTCCTAGTATATAAACTGAAGAAATACTCAATGCCATAAAATCAACAAAAAAAAAAACATTGACCAAATATCAAACAAGGTCTTTCACATATTAAACAACAGGCTTTAATAGAGATCTTTTCACTCGAGCTGGGAATCTTTGGGTGTCTCACAATTCGATTCAGAATCGATTTTCGATTCAGTACGATTCTGGATTCATGGATTCAAAGTCTATTTTTGAATTAGTACAGACTTCAGGATCCACTCCAGTCATCTGAAGAGAAAAATCTAAATTTTTATATAAATAGATTTTTTTCCCACCTGCACTTTAGTGAAACAGAATATTTGTGTCATCTATAACTGTTATTATGATGCAAGCTAACAACATCTAAAACATGGCACACTTCCACTGTATCTGTGACAACAGGCTCATTATCACATTATATCATTCTCTTAGAAGTAGTTTAATCCCTCTGGGTTTGTTGTTGACTGAGGAGGAATGTAGAACATATGCAAATGAAGATCAGGTGATGTTCTGATACAAGTGAACGTGTTAACACATCATTGTAAAAGATTAGTTTGAATGGAAGTAAACCTGATGCATAGAAGTGAAACTGACAGATCTGTATGTGGATTCTTTGATCTGTTTTATCTATAGAGCAAACACACGAAAAAGAAAATGCTGTCAGACCCAATTCAATTGAATTTGATTGATGATTTATCACTGTTTTGAGTCTGTTTGCATTTCTATAGCTTCTACAACATTACAGCACATTCAAACTAGACTGATAATATCTTTTAATGAGTTCCTAGACGAGGAAATAAATTCAAATCAAATCAAATGCAAATTACATTTCAGGATAGTGGCTATATAAAAAAACAAAGTTTAACCCTGCACAGTAATGGATTTTCAATATTAGTCTCCCTTAAGTCAGACTACTTTACAATCCAAAAATTTAAATGATTCACCAGGGCTCACTCCACCCTTTCAGAGCCAATTAGGTGAACACTTCATGGAAATCAGGGACAGCGTTTGATCTCCTGATGTCATTTTCAATTCAAGAGGGGAATAAATTACACAAATTTGACAGTTCCAAAATCAAAGAGCCCATCTATCTGACACTGCTGTCAGGTGAATACTTAACAAACTAAAATCCACAATTATGTGATTTTATTTTTGTATTTATTATTCATGCCTTTGGTGTGAATAAATGCATGATTGCGCACGCGTATTCTGTCTTCAACTGCAGTTTCATGTACTTACAATCAGACACCTAAAACCCTAATTCATGAAAAGATTTAGTTGGATTATAAAAGACAACAACATTTGAGTAATGTTTAGATATAAAAAAAAAAGTCACATCACACAGCAGCCCTAACTCCTTTCATCACGAGGAGGCAGTCAAAAGAAGAACAATCGTTTTTTAAACGGGAATGAATTCCATCTCTCCGCTCTCAGAAGTGTATGCAAATGAAAACGTATTGAAAATGGCAATAGCGGTAATATTGCGCCACCATGTCACCAGTGCCTCCACACTCTTTGTCCTCAGGCGGTTTCACAGCATTTCTTCATCTTGTTTCCTCACTCTGAAAGCCTAGTTTGTGAAACTCCACACAAGAGCCCTCCCACTCAACCTCGCAGCCTGCGGAGAGCACTTGAAAGCAATTTTCTTTTAATCAAGTTCACTATAAAGGCCCCTCTGATGCCAACCTCAGCAACACTACCATTTTTTTTTTTTATTTTTTTTTCCCCCCAAGTCTCTCTCTACATTTTATTGATTCCACAATAGCGACGTGAAATACTTTTGACTGACAAAATGAGAATTCTGCTGGAGTTTATTGTTCTTTCAGGATAGATTCAAATATAAGAGCGCTCATAAGCTGAGAGAGTTTTTCAAATCTCTGCTGTAGTTCAATAAAAAATGTAAAACTATCTGCATCTGGGGCAACCATAGCCTAGTGGTTAGTTTGGACACCCCATGTACAGAGGTTCTAGTCCTCAAAGCAGGTGGTCTTGGTTTGAATCCGGCCTGTGGATCCTTTCCCATAAGTCATTTCACATTCTCCAAATCTATCCACCACCCTGTCTCTAATATAAAGGCATAAAGCCCATAAATAAATCTTAAAAAATATATAATATTCTATATCTGCTTTAGAGATACAAACAATATTGAACAGAACCAGTCAAATAAACAGGGTTTCTACATTCCTTTAACAACAAAGTCAGTTAGATCTTAACTTAAGTAAAATATTAAAATGTGTAAATAAAAAATAGTCCCTTATTACAGTTAGCCTCATGCATTGTAAATTTACTGAAAGCTAAGTGTTATGAGCCATGTTAACATGTTTTTGTATAGCTGTAATTCTTTCTCAATCTTTTAGTTAACAAAATATCAAAAGAAGTGGAAAACAAACGCAGCTCAAGACAACAACTTCATCTGTGTGAAAGTCGAATCATTTCATATTTTTAAAAAAAGGTCATAAGAAATGTTCACATATGAGAAGATAAAACCAGAAGAAGCGTTTGCTAAAATATTCAAAGATGACCAAACTATTACAGATTAATTGTCTTTTGCGCAACAAGTAAAAAGGATTCCTGAAGTATACTTATTGTATGACGTGAACCAGCTGGACGTTTAGCCCAGAGGCTTCTAAGCTATTGTTATTGCACATTTACTTCTCTTACCTCCTGCAAGTATGTTTACATTCAGATGACACGCCTGAAAAATGTTATTTCATTTTTCATATTTTAGACTAGTAGTAATGTTAAAGTTCAATCCTTGATGTGTATATCTCTTCTTATTCTTATTTCTTTGTATATTTTTAGTGCTTACTTACCTTGTATTTATTCTTATATTGTTTTATTTTCTCTGTTAACCTGCTGCTGTAACCACAATTTCCCTGTTTGGGATCAAGAAAGTAAATCTATCTATTTTTAATATCAAATTCCATTTTGTTGACATAAGCAGTGGTAGAAAAATGTCATCAAAGAAACAACAGAATAATACTCTCTGAAATGTGGTGGAGTTGTATGAAAGGCCCATAAAGAAATTCTCTACATTCCAAGACTGATTGAGCAGGAGTTCTGGCTCTTGTCAAACCATGCAGACAGTTTTTTTTTTGCTCAGTTTGAGCTCTCCTCCTGCGCTGCTATCTACTCCCATGTACTGTATGTCCGCAGGCAGAAAAGTTTTTGCTGTATCATTTTCATGAAGGACGTATTTTATAACCACTTAATAGTCGGCGACCTTGGAGTGATGCTCCAAAGTGGATATGAATGTTGCTCTGCTGCATTTTGAATTCAGGGAGAGTTTGAACAGTTAGTCAGACACACTGAGGCTTTAACATACATGGGACAGAGAGTGATTCATGTGGGATTCATTTACAAGTTGGATTTACACACTGCAGGTAGATCATGTATTTTTTTAATTAATGAGTCATTTTCCCTAAAACACTTGTCCAGTTTAGACCAGCAGCTGGATCCATCATCTTTCACCGCCATCAGGAAAATGTGTGGATTTTTTTTTAGGTTACAAACAAAGAATGCAAGTCTATGTTTCCTAACTAATACTCGCTATAACCAAGTGTAAAATGTTGTTAAGAGAGGTAGTATGAGCATCATATTACACAGCATTAACATGAATTCGATGTTGCATACGTGTTTGCCTCTGATGGCCTTCAGTGTGTGAATGAGTGTGACCTGCAGTGTTAAAGCACTTTGAGTATTTAGAAGATTAGAAAAGTGCTATACAAGCTTGTGTTTATTTACCATTTATTTTTCTTTCAAGCTTGGTCAGTCATTCATAGGCTGACCGATCATTTCATAACTTGATGCATTAACTATCAGAATCAGAATCAGCTTTATTGGCTTAAACACACAAGGACTTTGACTTTGGTAAACTGTGCTCTCTTTGTACAAAGGTATATAGATTGTTTCCTTAAAATGATTCAATGGAAATGTCTGCCTTGAAAAGATTTCTACCATGAGGGGGGATCACCTGTAATTGTTCACTTTAGTTCAGAATGAGAACCATTGTTGCACATTTATGACTGTTTTCCTTTGAACGTTTTGCCATCAGGTCAAGAGGACATGATGTGCCATGAAGACTGAACCTGCAAACTTTTCAGAAGACTGATCCCAGAGGTGAGCCTCACTTCTCTACCTGTCTCCTGTCAAAGATTAATAACAAAGATCCTTGAAATGATGGATGTTAGGCCCAAAGAGTCAAGCAGCCATTATGTGATTTGTTGGGAATGACAAGACAAGCTCCCTCAGTGAATGTTTGATGTTTTATGACAGGAGTGTTTTGGTCATAGCTCCAAGGTTTCACTCCATAACTAACTTCATCTATTACAGACAGAAATGATGATAAGGAAATGTAGAAGTTGTAATCCTAAAATATTTCCCTCCTTCTTGATTCAGCCAGAGTAAATCTTGTTTGACCCGACATCAGTCACTGTAAGTGTTGAGCTTAAAACAGAAGAGCAGCCGGTGTATGTGTTAACAGGTCAGCCAAAGAAACTCATGTGGTTTTGATAAAGAGGTCAGTCAATAGAAGCTGCAACCACAATCTGATTTCATGCTGCACACGGCGGGTGTAGTTTTTCAGCACACCAGCAGGACACACATAATCTGGTTTCCTTGCTGAGGAGTCCAACATATCACAGCTCTCTCTTTTTCATTACTTTAAATATGAGCTGACTGACTAACAAAGGGAATTCTGTATTCTTTGAAACACATTATACTTATAAATCTATCATTAAGAGCATGATGTGGCTCTTGCGCATTTTCTCACCCGATGGCTGAATGTGGTATTGCAACAAAAAATTCCTCTTGCAGCCCATAGTGTTTTCCTCTCGGGCCATTGATATAAATATGTCACCTTGAACGAGATTTCTTCTGACTTTTTTGATGATTAGTTTTGGATCTGTCTAACTTTATACTAGCAATTTTTTTAAACTGAACTTTGACAAACAGGAGCAACCCTACCGAATATTTTAGTGGTCTGAATTTCCTTGAAAATGAACCCAGAAGCTATAAACTTTTAGGATCTTGCTCAAGGCAAGCAACTTTCCATCGACGAATTAGACGCTATTACCAGGTCCATCAACTAAGTCTAAATGATACATCAGGGTAAGGCACTTTCACAGGCATTGCTTTAACTAAAACTACTGCACAATATTAGCTGCTGTATATTTTATGTGCGGTATCACGATATGATAAGTGGCCCACAGTAAGGATTATGGGAGAGTTAACAGTAAACCATTATATTCATGGCAACACAGGATTAACATGTTGTAAACCAACACTCAGGCATGTGTTTGATACTAAGAGCAGACTTTGCCGCTAACAATCCAGATGAGAGAAAATCTTCTCTGCATCTTTGAATCATCGTCATGGTGACTTTGACATTTATAATTTAACTCGTCATAGGGACATACTCTAGTTTATGTTCTTCTTTTTTTTTTGCAAAAGAAAGTCAACCAAGTGGGAAAACACAGAAACTTGAGAGATTGACAATCAGACAATCAATACTCTAAAACTGTAATCCTCCCATCAGACTCAGCTGGACTCCTCTTTCTATGAATGTTAAAGTGGTACACATGTTCTTCTTCACTTCCCTGCTGCTGCATCGATCCCCAAGAGAGAAACACTGTGAGTGCCTGTACAGGATGGAGGCACATTCAGCAAAGTGAATTCTGTCTGCAGAGACTGAGCCATAATGACAATTTCTTCTAGTACTGCTTAAAACACCGACAAGCAAAGCACAAACATGCAACTACAAATTGAAGATTGAAGGCCCAATTAAAGAAGTTAACCAAAAAAACAATTATGAGTAAGATAAGATAAGTCGGCTTCATCAAATACCTCCACAACCACCTCATGAAAAAAGGTGATGACACCATCGCAGAGCAATACATTATCTTTGAATCAGGGGGTAACAGTTTAAACAGCTACCTCCTCTAATGGCTTTTAATGAAACTTCACAACTAATCCCTTTACACCGCTGTTTCAAAAGGCACTTTAACCAATACAAATTATGAATGAACATAGCCCTGAAATATTCTGATAGAAGAAATGAAACTGCAATCCCCTGTGGTGCTGAAAAGTGAGAAGGGACACTAAGAGGTACTGTTTCCTCCACTTTCCTATATTCAGCTCTTGTCTTGCATTAGAATTTTCTATTATCTGTGGCCCACTTTATTTTAGGTTAAAAACTGCAGTGCTGCAAAAAACAAAACTTGCTCACTGGGTTTTGTTACTTCTACTATCTGTTTGTATGTTCCTGTGGTAATGATGGTATCCAGAGCTGTGCAGAGTTCACCTTCCAGTCTGTGTTAATGAGATGACTCCTGGGTCCACATGCAGCAGTTTAATTTACACCAACCTGCAAACCCCACCGTGTGAAGCCTTAAAAAATACAATCACAGTATGCATCCAGGCATCATGTCTATTTGCAGCAGCTTGGTGTAGAGGTCTGTGATTGTCCTGGAGTTCACCATGCCAACAGCCCTGAGGTATACAGACAGGGATGATGGAAGTGGAATAGAGTATTTGCATAAATCGGGTGTTTTGACACTGTTTTAATAACGGCACCCTCACTTAGCTCAGGTTGCAGCGTATCAGCGCTGACCCTCGTGGACTAAGTTCTGGGGACACCTTCCAATTTGTGTTAATGAGATGACTCCTCTCCGTCTGCGGGTCACCGTGATATTTACGGGAAGCGGTGCAGCGGCAGAGATCCACTCCTCTCCCGTGGCGCTCCCTCGCCTCATTTGCATAGCTTTCAGACTTCCCTTTTCCCCGCTCTCTCCCTCTTCCAGCACTCTCGCTGCGCTCCTCCATGATAGACAGGCTCCTTCGCGCTTCTCTTCAGTTTGTGTCGCACATGTTAATTAAAGCCTCTAATTAGCTTCCCCCACTAAAAGGCCGCATTAAATCAGAGCTGGAATGGCAAATGATTCCTGGCATTAGCATAATTGTGTTTTTGAAGTGTAAAGATTGGGGCATTAGGGATGCGAGCGATCGTTTTTGTTTCAGTGATTTGTTGTGTTTGGGGCTCATGGCTCAGGGGGCCACTGGAGGTTGGCTATGCCCTGGGACCTATACAGGGGCCACACACTAATGAGGCCTGCTCCTCTCTGATGGAGCACATACAGGAAAAACAAACCTGTGATGAGGTACCCTCAGGTGGTCCTGAGAGCCAGGCAGAGCGGAGAGAGAGAGAGAGAGAGAGAGAGAGACAGAGAGAGACAGAGAGAGAAACAGACAGAGAGAGAGAGACAGAGAGAGACACAGAGAGAGAGAGAAACAGAGAGAGACAGAGAGAGACAGAGAGAGAGAGAGAGAGACAGAGAGAGACAGAGAGAGAGAGAAACAGAGAGAGACACAGAGAGAGAGAGAGAAAGAGAGAGACAGAGAGAGACAGAGAGAGAGAGAGAGAGAGAGAGAGAGAGAGAGAGAGAGAGAGAGAGAGAGACAGAGAGAGACACAGAGAGAGAGAGAAACAGAGAGAGACAGAGAGAGACAGAGAGAGAGAGAGAGAGAGAGAGAGAGAGAGAGACAGAGAGAGAAACAGACAGAGAGAGAGAGACAGAGAGAGACACAGAGAGAGAGAGAAACAGAGAGAGACAGAGAGAGACAGAGAGAGAGAGAGAGAGAGAGAGAGAGAGAGAGAGACAGAGAGAGAAACAGACAGAGAGAGAGAGACAGAGAGAGACACAGAGAGAGAGAGAAACAGAGAGAGACAGAGAGAGACAGAGAGAGAGAGAGAGAGAGAGAGAGAGAGAGAGAGACAGAGAGAGAAACAGACAGAGAGAGAGAGACAGAGAGAGACACAGAGAGAGAGAAACAGAGAGAGACAGAGAGAGACAGAGAGAGAGAGAGAGAGAGAGAGAGAGACAGGGAGAGAGACAGAGAGAGAGAGAGACAGAGAGGGGGGGACCCTCATGTCTGGTTCCTGTCCTCTATTTCAGAGTGATATTGGCCTACCTGGATTTTGGATTTAATAGAAACTTGTAGAGTGAAAAATCCTAAACTATCGAACGTGACTGAAGCTGTCACCATCAGACCCGTCGTGCCGCGGGGCAGTGGTACTTTTCAAGAGCTTCCTCTGGGCGAAAAACTTCCTCACTGACTTCTGTGGCTGAATTATTCAGGGAGAGCTCGTCAAGCCAAAAGCACAGCAGAGGAACAGTGACAGTTTGGGGGTTGTGTGATAGCTGCGAGTGTTGTCATATGAGTTATTATTGAAGCAGCCAGATATACCACAATGTTACAGATCCCTCGCTCTGGCCTTGAATCGGCTCCAGGCATAAAAAGCCATTTAGAGTCATGGAGGAGGAAGCAGAGGGAGAGTTGAAAAAATGATGTAAAGAGGAGGAAGAGTCTGCAGACAGAATGATCAGCATGAGGCTACTTTTCATTTGAAGAACACTAATTAAACCTTTTTTTGTGTCAGCAGTCAAATCATTTGCGTTTCTTTGAAAGACTACGTCTGATTACATAAGGACAGGCTGCCATGTTCCTGAGGTGACACATTTAATTATGTGGAATAATTTTTTTAATGGCACAAAAGCGCTGTGTGCAGTAATTTGTCTCTCTACCCAGTCCTCTTCCACATGTAAAAACACAGAGCCTAAAAACATCAAATACGAGGGAAGAAATAGTGAGGATGCAAAAGCAGCTCCAGACTGTGTGTGGAAGTGTAACATTCATTATGTCTGTTTTAATGTTGCTGCTAGTCTGAACACAGTTGGAGATCTCAGCCAGTCAGCAGAGAAACCAAGGGCACCGCCAGAGGCTTGATTTACACAACAAAAAGACATTTCACCATATGTGACCTGGGTGAGACTTTCTTCTCACTCTGTCAAACTTTGTCAAACTTTTGCCAAGTTTACAGAGCTCCTGCGGCCAAAAGGAAAATGTTTTCTGGCAGTACGAGCTGCGATTGTTGGCCGTTGAACTCTTTCTGGATCGCCTGATGCTTCTTTGCCGATTCGATATCCAACTCATGATGTCCACCAGGGTGAAGTTATGAGCGTAACTAAAGTACAAGTGGAGGTCTGAAGAGTTTTAAAAAACTCACTGCAATTCATCTGAAAATAGCTTTATAAAGCCCACTAATGGACAGCTTTGTTGTT